ACACGCCGCTCGAAAAGCTTCAACTCTCGCTTCGTGCGTGCAGGTAAGTTTGTAGCGTTTTTTGTTTACACAAAAATTTGGCCCAAAAGGATTTGAAATTCACATTTGCGCCATTCGCTGAGTGATTGGGCACATGGTTGAGCGGTTGCAGGCATGCTTGTGCGCTTGAACAGTTTGTGTTGGCATCATGTGTTGCATGTGTTTGCGGATATGTGTGCGTCTACATACACAGCTGCTTGTGAATTTGTGCAAAAGTGCAAACCCGTTGGAAGAAGTGTTGTTTATTGCTTGCAAAACAGTTGTAAGCGCCTATAAATATGCTTGAAAATCAAAGCGTGTCGTTGCAAAGGTATTTCAAATTCCATTTCTTTCACAACTCATTACTCAAACACGCTCAGTGATTGATGTCAAATAAGTATCATTGTATTCAAGCGAGCTTGAAATCGTTTAGCGGCGCATAAAAAATCTCTGTGAGCGCTTAATGAAAAAATAAAAAAATGGATCTAGTAAGGTTGCGGAAATTGATCATTTATGCCTTCGAAATATTTTGCACAGCAACATCCTAAATAATCATAATAAATTTGTTAAAGAATATCACTGAGAAATAGAGCGATCTCTAATATAGTAGTTTCAATGCTCGTATCTCTTATACAACCGCAGATATCCCAGCAAAAATTTAAGAAAATATTGCGTTTCCGCAGCTTTTGTGAAAATTAACAATCTGCCTTGGTCCCAAGAGAAGATAAGGTTAAATGTATCCATATCGCTCGACAAAATAGTTTTAATAGTGATTTTATTTTCACAAGTTCTAGTTAATCATACAAATTTAGTCAAGTCTATACATCTAAGGTGTGTTCTCTTTTACCTCTTTTCAAAAAATTCATATTAAGAAACAAAATTAAAGTTATTCAACCGAGTTTACCGTAATAAATTACGTGGATACGACTTTAAAGTGGTATAACCGCTTGTTATGTATTCTGTGCTTCGTTATGCCAATTTATGTTACTTATGCGAGTTTATGTCACTTATACCAGTTATTTATTTTTTGTTCCTTTATGCCAGCTTATTCCAGTAACAAAAAATATTTGTTCGCTGACGCTTAATTAAGTCGCTTATACCAGTTATTTGTCCTCTTCATGCTTATACCAATTACTTGTTCGCTTATGTCATATTAAAGGTCGCATAAGACGTTTATGTCACTTATACCAGTTATTAATTATATGCTTTATTATGCTAGTTTATGTTAATTATACCAGTTACCACTCTCTGTCTTATTATGACAATTTATGTTACTTATATCAGTTATTTATTCTCTGTTCTTTTATGTCAGCTTATGACTCTATACAACATATTGAATCTATGATTGATTATACCAATTAATATCACTTATGCTGGTTGTTTATTTACTGCTTCATTATGACATTTTATGTCATCATAGTATTTATTTATACTAGGTTTTATTATGCTCTTTATACCAGTTACTTATTGTCAGTTTCTTTGTGCCAACTTGTGCCAGAAACACCAATTTTGTTCTCTTACGCTTAATTTAGCTGCTTATTCCAGTTATTTATTTGTACATGCATATTTATGCCAGTTTCTGTCACTTATACCAATTATTTGCTATTTACAGGTATGTTAGTTATACGAGATATTTTTTCTCTGCTTGTTTCTGGAAGCTTATGCTATTTATCCCCCTTAATTATTCTTAGCTTGATTATGACAATTTACGTGACTTATACCAATTATTAAATTTCTGCTCCATTATGCCAATATGTATATTTTATACCAGTTATTTGTTCTCTGCGCCCCTCTTTAAGACTTATCAAATAAAAGACAACTTTAATTTGATTTATACCAGTTTTTTATACATAAATATTTATCCCCCGTCGCCACCATTTTTCTTCCTTTATCACTAACTGTATTATACCTTTTCGTAGTAAATCTCGTAAATTACATTACACTCATATTAAGTGCATAAACAAAATCGCTTAAAACAATGTGCTTAAAAATTTCGAACAAAACACAAAAGTTGACTGACAAAAATGTTCAACAATTTCAATTATGAGCTTTTAAGCAACACAATATGTATATGTATGTAGCTATTAACGTAAATAAGCGCGTGTATGTGTGCATGGAAATATTGTAAAAAGGCTTAAGTTAACAATTTGTTTCACAAATGGGGGTACATTTTATAACTCTAAAACTGAAGGCTCCGTTAACTGCCTCGCTAGTAGGGCAATAATTGAATTTTTATAGTTATAATAAGTAAATGTCTAGATTTTGCTTTACAAAATTTTAATCTGTCATTTTTACTGTTGCTTACCAAACATATGTAAGTATACATAAACCTATTAAGATTAGCTATGTGATACAACTACCTGGTTAAGCTTCTTCGAACAAAGCTAAGTTGTATTTATGTATGTATATGTCCATATGTATGTCGATCAGCTAATATGACAGAAACTCAAAATGGAACAGATAACAGCACACTTTTCTGTTATTGTCATACTGAAATCGACAAAATTAACAGAATTCAGCGTAACTTGTTAAATTTTGCAGCGGTCTGTTAACATACTGCAATTTTCATCTACATTGTTGCGCTTTGATCATATTACACTTCCTGTAGACCTCTGTATATTATTCTGTTACTTCATTAAATTTAGCAGCTGTCTGTTAACATGCTGTAATTCACATTACATTGTTGCCTTTTGAACATAATACTGTGATTACAGTATTATATGTTACACTTGTTTACTTCTGTATATTATTCTGTAAACATTCTAGTGAAACACATTGTAACTAAGTAATCCATATACATACATCACTATATATGATGGCGCATAAAAATACATACCGAAACGTATGTTGCACACCTGCAGCACTCAACAGCAGTCTGCGTGGCATTTATATTTGAGTTGTAAAATTTTGCAAATATAAAGTTCCACGAAAATGCGCGCAAATTTGTACCTACAAACATTTTATATGAAAGGATATAACACAAATATGCTCGTATGTACATGTATACATACATGTGTATTTATGTTGCTCTTGTGCGTTTATAACTTTATGCCTATTTTGTTTTCACTCAGCATTATCATCATTACCAGTATGGTTTGGTGGCGTTACCTTGTACCAGAGGAGGTAGAATCATCACTGTGGCATGGGTACGTACAGTATAAATGTTAAAAATTTATTATAGCCAAAAAATTCTGATGAAATGGCGCTAAAAAGTTTTGATGCTATTTTGCTTTTAACTGGCATTAATTTTAATTGTAGAAATATACGAGTAAGTGCTGTATGTCTTAAAATGTGGTAATTTTAGAGCGATAAATGGTAGTCATAAATAGTTACACTGCTCTTTACTGCCGTATTTTCATTCATATAAATCCGAAAAATAAAAAATATGGTCGACTTGTATGAATTTCATCCTGAGAGGTTGAATTTCGAACAGTTCGTACTTTGTTACCTGTCGTAAATTCAACCGGCTTACCAAAAGTCTAACTTTCGGATCGGACTGAAGTCAAAACTATAACATTTCAGCTTTAACACAATAACTTCGAAAAGACTACATTATCATGAGTAGTATTCGATATTATGCAAGACAGCAAAGGTCGCAATGCTGAACCTTATTTTAGTCTTACAAATAATTAGTACACACACACATATTTAGCAGACCTCAAATATATGAATACACAATCTTACATATCCATGTATATTATATGAAAGCATTTAAATGTAAATAAAATATTAATACCAACTGATAAAAGCTCTATATTCTCATTTATAAAATCCTGAACTTACCCCATCAAAGACAACCACCAGGGCAGCCACAATAAAATTCTATACAGAACGAAACCCGGTAGGTGGCGCTAATATCGCTTGGATATTGATTATTGTGAATATGGCACAACACATCTTCACTGTGGCTATGTTAAGGATTTTAGTGACATATATAAAAGTATCAGATTAATTAAGAACTTAATCAATCAAAAACAATTTCTTCGATTTAATTTAATTTAAACAATTTATTTAATCAATTTTTAGAAAATTTCTTTTAAAGCTCTGATTTATCGTTAAAGAAAATTATGCTTGGCAACAACTGTAATGAAACTCTAATCATATGTTAAGTAAACATATCTGTTCTTATTTAACAATATTTTGAAATATATGTGACATTTGTACATTTTTAAACAAAATAAAAATAAATCTAAAGCTATTTAAATAATAATAAATATGAGTAGAGAGGGTAAATATATGATGCTTATACACAATATGTATATAATAATAGCGTCAAATTTAATCAAACGTTATGACAGATTTATCGGACATCTTAATCGAGGCGCTAGAAGTATTTTTGAATCATATTCTATATGTGCGTGAATTGTACCCGGCACAAATTTTCAAAAAGAGGCGTCTTTATAATGCACCAGTCTACATTTCCATATTCCCGCCACTTAATTCATACATATATAATATCTTGCGAACTGCACGGGAACTACAACAACGACGCGAATTGCAATGTGTGGTGTTACAGTTTTACCATGACGAGCTACCTCTAAATGAGTGCTACTCATTCGACATTAAGCATTTTGAAGCTGATGGAGAAATGATGTGTGAAGCAACAGGGTCTAACGACAAATTCCTGATAGAGTTTGAAGAACAACTTCGCAGTTCACTGTACAAATTAGCCGAGCGAGTAAAGCCGCTAAATACGTTGCCAAAAGGTGCTAAATTTAAAGTAGCACTTAATACAACGCAAGAAGCTTTTATTCATCTTAGCCACAATTCAAATTACCAGGTAAGCCAGCTGATAAATGTAAGATACGTATATTTGTAACGGATATTGTTCTTTTTTTTTAATTTAGAACTTCCCCTGGCTATGTGATGGTTTGAATGCAGAAAGGAATAAACAGGAAATTACTCTGCTCCCGCTTACCCGTTTGAATAGCATCGGTTTAAGATTAAATTTGGAAATATTTTAATTAAAATCGTGGTAATGATTGTTTTCTGTTATAGAACATTGTTTCATTTTAATTTAGCTCAATATAATTTATGCATACACGAATAAAAAAGCAGACCGTTAGCGCAATTCTTAGAGTAATCCTTGGCGTTTTAAGTCCTCATAGGTTTTACGATTCACTACATTTCCCAGCGAATCTTCGAATTCTTCTTCCTGATCCGCTATCCAACGTTCACTTTGCTTTTGAGACTTAAGTTTCTCCCACAATGTGATCGCGTCTTCAATTTGCGTTACATTTGCAAAATGTGCCGTATTTGGAATACCAAGGCAACGCATTCCGTGAGCATGTCGCCATTCAGCAAAATGACGTTGGAATGCTTTCGGTCCTTTGTACGTAAAATTACCACATATTTCGCAGTTATAACTGATATTCAGACCATGCAGTTTATACAACCAGTAAGGTATTGGCTTGCCATCCCAACCAAGCGGCAGATTTTTGGGGTTATATGGTACATCATCTGCGTCGTCCATATCATCATTATCACTCTCGCTTGCTTCAACATCACTATCGTCCCGTTCTCCGCCAGTACGGGCTTGTTTACGTTGCACGTTTTCTTTGGTTGCTGTTCTCTGTTCAGATAATAAGTCAGCATATTTGTACAACAACGCCTCTAATTGAGCAATTTCCTTATGACGTTCATTATCACGAGAATGTACATTCGCATTTTTGTTTGCTGGTTTTTTAGCAATTAAAGATGGATCTAGTGTTTTCTTGCCTTTTGTTGAGAAAAGTCGTTGAGCGCGTTCTTCAAGTGTACCGCCACATTTTAAGCCCAGCGCCATAAGCGCCGATTTTAGACGATCCAAACCAAGGGACGCTAACTCCTCCCAACTGGAAAAAGCCGATAAATCTAAATGTGCACCAGTATTGGCTAATGCGGATTCTGTCTCCTTAGATGCCCAACCTAAATTCAAATATACATATAATTAGAAAAATTTAGATATTAAATAAAATTCAGAATAATTTACCAGGAAAACTGCCTTGCAACCATTGACGTTGAAATTCTAACTCAACTTTAACTAGTTCTGCATCGGTGTCTAATAGGGGGTGTATGCGAGTTACAAAATTGTGCAAATAAGCATTTAAATTTTCAATATATTTTCGATATTCACGATTTTTACGATCTCGCGGTATATCAAAGACGTGGTCAAAAGTCATCAGATAAGTTATATAGTCCACTTTCTCCACACCACGAAGATTTAAATATTGCTCATAGCATTCGTTTAAATCTAAATATCGGCCACCACCTTCTTCGTCTGTGAATTCCACGAGAGCTGACATATCTTCTAAATTATTATACGCTTTTGTAAGCTCCTCGAATTCGACGGAGAGAGGTATACTAATCTCAGCGGGATGCTTTTTATAAAATTCTTTAATTTGTTTCAAACGTGCATAAAATTCATTGAATTCATTTGGCCCAGAGAGAGCCTGAATTTCAGCTTTTCGTTCATTATCTTTATCTTCGTAAAGTTCCTTTAACTTAGTTGTAGAATTGTTGTGCAGATCCAACAAACATTTTAACCTCTGCTCTGAGTGAATCCTTTCCTTTTCTCCAGTTTTCTTCGTCGCATACTCGTCCACCATCAACTTGACCAAACGTTCCCGTTCCTCGTGATAGCGACGCTGCTGCTCTAGAAGAGTCTCCATCTATTATAAACGTTTAATATTTTAACACCACACAAATATTAATTTTTATCGGAATACACTGCATAAACATCTAAAAAAATTAATTGCAAATGCGGTTGTCAAAATGGCCATGTCTTTCTTTCAAGTGCCGGTAGGACTGCCAATCCAATAAAATTTCCTAATAATAAGGGGAATAACTTTTTACAAAATTTTAAAAATAATAATTACAATCGTTTCGAATGTAAGACCAATTTAAAGGGGAAATATAATTAGCTATATAAAAAGTAAATTACATTAAATTAAATATAAGAAATTTAAAAAATTATTTAAATACTTTTTCTAATTGACTAAGACATTGGGAACACTTTCTGTTTTTTCACTACTTTTAAAATTAAAGAAGACCAACATAAAACGAAAAACAAAAATCAGAGTTGCATTTACAATGCTGCATTTCTTGGGTCTAATTGAACTAAGTTTTCAAAATATGCAATTATTACAAGCTCTTTCTATTTTTTTTTCTTTAAATATATCTGCAATGCTTTAAAATTTTACTTTGATTTTAATGTAAAATATTTTTAAGACCATAATTTTATAACTGAAATATAAGTGCCAAATCGGATGCAACACTGCATCAGAAAATTCAAAATGGCCGTCACCAACAAAAAAGTAAAATTTCTGTACAGTGAAGAAGCGTCCGAGAAAAGTTCGATATACTGTGTGTGTTTTTTAATATTCCCTATTCTAAAATTAAACAATTAATTCTAATTGAAAACCACCAAAAACTTGAGATAATTGAATCGCGTAAAAATGTGAGTTGGTGAAGTGTTAATTAATCTAAGATTGATTTTACTTAGAAAGAAAATTTTCTCGGGCAAAATTTTCATTCAATTATATTTTGCGAAGGAAAGAACAAAGTGTATTGGATAAATATACGGTCGACTGCTAAAAAGAAAAACGAAAAAGTGAAAGCATACTAGAGAACGTGCATCCTGAAACTATCTGCATGAATAGTGTATTATAAAAAAAAAACAGCTTTGCGAATTTTGTATTAATCAAAGCTGCGCAAGCAAAAATGTTCGTACACGCGTGTAATMATGTTAAGATTAGGAGCTGAAAATCAGTTTCACACGAGTTGAGATTACCGCAACTTTGTTTGTGTATAACAAGTTGAATTTCTGTCCAATCGGTCAACAACTTTCAATTGAAAGAACAGTCTTTGCTTTAAATATTATTTTCACTTCACGTTTTGCCCCAAATAAACGGCCATGGAGTTCGAGGAGCTTGAAGGTATAGCCAAAACGGACTTCGTTCCACTCATGCCGCTTATAAAACAGGAACAAATTGATACTGCCATACCAGAGACGGCGGCATCAGAACAGCTCACCGGCAGTGCTGCTACCGCGACTACGTCTTCTTTTTCAGCTTCATCATTTGGTAATCCCTGCGATAGCGCCGAAAAGCGGGTAAGTGAAATATTTAGCACATACATTTAGCATTAGACGTGTGTGTGTGTGATAGTTTTTAAGCCAGTGCTCGTACAACTTGAAGCTTAAATCATATAGCGCATCCGGTTCGACTTCCGCTTGGAACCGGAACATGATAATTATTGGCAATTTTAGTCTTTTTATTTAACGAGTTAAAATTGTCGATCATAATATTAATTTTTAGAAGAACAAAAATTATGTAAAAAGTAACATATAAATTTATCCTATTAATATTTTAAAATAGGGTTTTTCCAAAAAGTGGGTTTAAAGTTTACAGCACCATTGATTTGTTTCAAAGTATACTTCTTAAAAGAGTTATCTACAAAGAAAGTGATTCATTTAAAGAACCTATGTAAAAAAATATGGAAAAGAGATGCTCATTATAAATAATTTCAAAGAACTGGCTTCATACAGAACAGTGTTTTAACAAGCGAATGGCACATTGTCTGTTAGTCCTACGAAACAAATGCTAAACGATAAGATCGTATCAGTAAAAACGATCCAATATAAAAGGAGTGTTAAGATAAGCCCGAACTATCAACTAGCTATACCCAGTAAAAGCAAATAAACAAAGCCGATCAACAATCGTGTCACACTCTTGCCTCGTATTCGTACATGTTTGAAACTAGTGCGCTTGTGTAAATTGCAGCATTTAAACGCAGAACATAGAAACCAATGAACTTCCACACATGTTCATACATCGATCGATGTTTAGTTGATTTTAAGGCCATGATTGGTCATGACATATGTATGTATGCATATGTATATAAGCGCATTATGATTAAGCGTATCAGCGTACCTGAAATATATTGCAATATGTTTACAAAATTGGTAGTTTAGTGAATAACATAAACCTATGTTGATAATTTCTATATGTTATTAGCCAGCAAACTCTAAATCAGTGATGAATAAAAAGAAATATTTAATAATTACCGAGTTCCACGCATTAAGCCTTGTTTCTTTACTTATGTATTTTTATTGGTACTCACCGATCCAAACTGGGTTAGATCGCCGAAAAACCAGCCCTTGGTCGGATAAAATCCTAGTCAATTGCGGTGCATAGAACCGGCTGTCGTGGGAATCGCAATTTTTTTTTTTGGTCCTTTTACTTTGGTAACAGCATGTACATATAGTACAAACCTTTATGATATTATATTAACTAAAATTAATTAAACCTTTCTTATTTCTTTAATTCAATATTAGTATATCCGCCCGAAAATTACTTTTATCTGTGAAATAATTTTTTTTTATTTCAGTATTTAACAAGTAACAAAAAATTTATTTACTCAATTGGCACCTTTCATCACATTAAGTAAATATATTCAGCCGTTTAATAAGTTAAAAAATTCGAGCTAGATTTTCAAATTTTAGGTACCTAGAAATTTCTAAATAAAAGATTAATGGGTAATTTTTGTTTATATTATAACAAATATAATAAGACATTGAGCGGCACAAAGCAATCAGTTAAGGTCGTGAAGTATCGAAAACTAGCTCCAGGCGATTAGGCAATCCACATCTCTTATATATTGGCTCAATATATTTTGGGTATGAAATGTATTTAGTATTGACATTATCAAAATACAAAAATGCTAAAACGATGTCGCGTAGAGGATGCTTGACAATGTTGTTGAGGACCCTACACTTCCGTGAACGACGGACGGATTTTTCATACGCCCAAGGCCTGTCTACCCCTACAACAACAACAATAGGACATTTATCAAACGCATAATCACTGGTGACCATACATGGGTGGTGTCCTATCCCCGTTACTGTTTAATTTTTACATTTCGAAACCACCTCCCACCAAAGAGTATATATTACGTCATATGCTGATGTTTGCAAGATGATGACAACGGACAATGGAATTAATGGCATCTGATCAATAGTAAACGCTTCTTCTCTGCAAGGAACCTAAAACTCTAAATCCGCAGCGACCATATTCACGAACTGAAGTAACGAGTACGGACTTGCCTTTATTTTTATCCGGCCAAGGACTGTCAACTCGGCAGAATTCTGCCGTTACAACAAGAACAACAACAACATGACGTTAAATTTCATACTGTAATAATCATAAGATTATGAAATCCTCAAAACTTTGTTGGCAACATAAAAGGCAATTTATCTTCAAGCAGTTTCTGCTGGAATATTTTCTCAGAAACCATCCCTGCAGTTGCCTGCTTGAAGAGAAGCCGCCTTCTAGGAGCATCAAGAGGTCATTCCCTGACTACTTCAAAGACATTGGACGGTACATTCACAGTGGAGCCATTACCACCTTCACCGACTCCCTCTCAGTGAATGACGTACTTGGAGTAAAGCCACCGCGCTTTGCAGACAACGAGCTCGAGTTGTCGCAGGAATCATGAGTGACCCTTTCGCTACTTCGTTTTGGATACTCTAGCGGGGTTAAACTCGTACTTATCTAGAATCAAGCCCGATATACCAAATATATGTCCAGCATCCGACGAGTCCTCACTGCTATCTATCACCCTTCTATATCGTCCAAGGGCGTTAAGGGATTAGGTGGATTTCAAAATTTTTTGTTCAAAGTCCGAGAACAGAAGGACAATTTTAATTTTTTTTTATTTCCTACGTTCAGGAACGAGATTTAGATATGTATGTACTAACAGAATATGCTTCGTTTTTTTATTTTATATGAACCAATAATAAGTTATGCTTATGCGAGAGCACTTTTTTGAGAGACACTCAGAGAAATGCGGTCTCAACGGCGGAATTTTCAACATTTTGTATCGAAATTTCAGGAGATATTGTTCGAATATATACCTTTGATATAACTTATTATATTTTTCAAATATATATAGTATGATTGCTTTAAAAAAAAGAATCGAAAAGATACCTTTTTTTTGGGGGTTTCTGGTTTTCTGGGCCTACAGATAGATGACCTGAACGTTACCATCCAAGCGGAGGAACTACTGTTGTTGTTGTAGCGGCAGAAAACATTCCTGTAGTAATTTGGAGAAAAACTGCCAATTCGAGTTTAGATTTCATTTTTTTTAATCTAATTTGTATTTATATTAAATCACAATTAAAAACCGACAAAACTTTTAATAAGACATTGCTCAATTTATACAAATATTGTAATACGTAAATTATCCATAATAAGATTTCAATTTTCACGAATATGAAAACTCGTGTTGACCTCGTGCCTCCTCAGTGAAACATTATCGAAGCTCATATCTTGATATGTTTTATCTGTCTTTTCTGTTATGAACTGTCCTTTTCATGAGTTGACAGCTTCGTATTCTTATCAGTATGTCTAATTTTGGATTTTGTTTTTTGTTTGATTTTTGAGATTATGTTCGCTTGAGATAAAGTGGAATTAAATATTTCAATCTATTTATATTGATTTTTTGTTACAGATAAGCTTGTTAAAATAACAGTTATTAAGTTATCGATGGCTCATTCATAGGAGATTATATACAAAACTGGTATTTTCGACTTTCTTTGAATGATGTCAAGTGTCTGTTTTAGGCCACCGCAGGTGAAGGTTGCATATCTATTACTTCTTCGTCTGTTTTGATAAACATTCTCTTCTAAGAAGTTGTTTGATATCAAGTTAGGATGTAGAAGTAATTTTTACAAACAAAAAATCAATCGATAATGGTTGGCCTTCTGGCATTTTCTCCAAATGTTCTT